AAAAAAAAAAAAATCAATAAAAATACATATCGAAAAACTCAAGTACAATTAAAACTTAAAGTAAAAATATTCACCTCTGCCATGGGCAATTAAATATCCTGTATCCTCTTCAGTTATCAGTGACAGTATTTTGCTCCTTTGGTTCGTGCCTTACACCTCTCCTCTGTGCTGAAAGCTACAGTCTTGAATGTGTTGAGTGCTGAGTGCATGTACTGCTTTTGAGACATAGTGGGCGGGGTCTCTCTCTCTCTGTCTCTCTCTCTCTGTCTCTCTCCCTCTCTATCGCTTGCCTTGCCACCTCTATCAAGTCCTCTTTTGGTGGTGGTTTCAGTAAATTACATTTGTCGGATAAATTCCTATTGTAAAGTTAATTACGATCCCGTAATTCAAAAGTAAAGAAGATGACACATCTGCTGCTCTGTGATAATAAACAAGCAAGCGAAATGTAAAAGTGCTGGCAGCCAGCCAAACGCGAGGCATGCCTTTGGCAGCACGTCTGCACATGTCATGCACCTGTGTCATGCGGCCGATAACATAATCACTTCCGTGGAACGGCGACTTTCACTCTTGTGGTTAAGGAACACCCCTTACAGGTTTACAGGAAGTGAAGCCGGAAGGTAAATACGTAGCATGGCAGTAAAAACTCCTTATGGGAATTGACTCAGCACAATGCAAAATTTCCTAAGTGACACAAGCTGAGTCAGGATTACTTTGTCAAAGCAAATCTGAACAATCTAACTTAAAACGAGTGGAAAGATAAGGATTCTGTGAATATGTGCATGTGGATTATGAAAAATAGTCCTATCTTTTGTGCATGTGACACATGTTGCATAGGGCTTCAGTGCCGGTAAGAGTCTCATGACTGTGTAAGCATTCCAATCCACTGTTACGTGCCACCGGCGGTCACAACTTCCTCTAAAATTTTGACCAAAACTTCTGTGCGGCAGTGCAATCTGTGTGAACGCATTTCTTTCCCCTATTGACGTATGGACAAAGACTTGATGTGAAACTTCTCCCTCTGAGCAACCAGTGTTTTCTTTTTTCTTTTTTTTTTTCATGAATAACAGACAAAGACCTGTCCATAGTAATTTGTTGTCTCTTCCCAGTCTCGTTTTTTCACATTTAGGCTCGAAACTTTCCCCTTCTTAAGCAGTACCTTGCCAGTGGGTTGGTTTATGCTTAAACATCAGTGTACGAAAAAGCTTGTAAAGCATGTGGTTTCCCTTACCCTCCAGAAGTATTTCCTGTTGGCCAGCTTGGGTACATTGTCTTTGGTGTAGATTTCTCCTTGCAAAGGGCCAAAACGAGTCCCTTGTGGAATGTACTCTTTGCTGAACACACCTGTCACCTGGAAAACAGGACAAATAAATCATTGGAGTTTTTCATGTACAAACATACTACAACACAAGTCTTTCAAGCACTTATAAAGAAACAGTATTAATTACTTATTTATTCATTGTTTACATGTAAGGGTTAGTGCTTGTTGGCCCGTGCTGCCCGTTTGTTGTCACTCTGTCACGTTAACCCAGACAGCTCCTGGAGCCACAAGGTGACCCACTTTCAACTCTAATGAGTTAAACGAATGAAGGGTATTACACTCTTTCTGACATACTCTACTGATCTCTGACCCACTGTCCTCACAAACACCAGAAAGCGAGAGAGAGGAAAGACAGAAATACAGATGTCTTGTTAACCACCACTAATACAATAATACTAATACTTTTATAGTTTTAAGTCAACAAAATGCCAACAGCAAACAAAGATGGAAGACATATTTTGCTCACTCTTTAAAACCCTTCATCCTGTTACCCATGGTTGCGAAATGGTCCATATATGTGGAAATGCGTCAGGCTTCTGACTCCTTATAGGAGTTTCAAGTCTTAGCGTCTCCTGAATACATACGTCATACACATAATGTACAGTATGTTCCAAGAAGAGCCTGTAGTGTTCTGCAGTAATTGTCGTAATCAGTAACTGAGTCATTTTTAGTCTATTGATGTACCTTTTTATTTTTTTGTTTTTTGCTTTTTAAAATTTAGTTTAAAAAATCTATTGCGAGGCCTTGCTGGATATGGCACAGTGTGATCTGATTAGTTATTTATATTTAATACAAGAGTAAGACTTACAAAACATACTAAAACACGCACACACACACTATCAAGAAGCCGTATCTGCAGAACAGGCAACTTTCATGTTCAGTTCTTAAAAAACCAACGACCCCTAACTGAAACTTTTAGCCTCCACCGCCACCGCCACCCCCATCCTCAACCTTACATAAACACAAACTGTCTTCCTGCCATCTAGAAATTCTAACTCAAGCTGGCCCTCGAGGATTTTCATGGACTACCATATGAAGGTCAACACATGACAGACAAAAAAAATGCAACAAGCACCTGGGCATTTGTGGCGATTCATCATGCAAATCATGCTTAAGCAGTTAATTAGAAAAACAACAGGTCAGTGGGAGCAGCAGGACCATGTTGGTGCGCGTGTGTGTCAAACAGCCATTGAGGCGAGTGAAGTGATTCCAGGATGTGATGAACCAGTCTGACAGGGACATTGTACTTCACTGCTGTTGCGTGACTAACAAATTGCTGCGGCCGCTGGACTGCCGCTGCTGCTTAACCGCTCCGTTCAACTCGGTTGATAGGCAGGGGAAGGGAGGGCAGGGTGTTGAAGAACGGAAGAAAGGAGGGAGAGCGTTCTTAAGTGGAGCCACGCTATCACCCGCACGAGGACCCTCCTTTTCTTCTGCCTTCCTCCAATCCCTTGTCTTTTCTGAATTCTATTGAAATAGCTTGTTAGCCTGATGCCTGGCCGGCTGCCTGTCCCCAACGAAAGTTAATCATCTGGTTTTAACCTAAATCCCCACTGCCCCTTCCCCCCAGAACACCGGCTTCTCCCCATCTCCTTCACTGCCACCCCCACCACCCCGTCCTTACTGGCACTCATTGCTAATGCCCCATCTGCCACGTGCCCCCTTCACCTTACTCCGCCTTTCCTGGCATGCTTTATAAAAGTGAGGTGTTGAAAAAGGGGTCCTGAAAACATGTGAGGAACTCATAAGAATAAGAAGATAGTGGACCTAAGACTGCTCCCTAATCTGGCTCCAAACAAGTGTGACACTTATGTAGATGTGCGTAACAATATGCTTCACATGTTTGAAGGCATATTACACTGTTTTATTTCAGACTACTTTGATTTGACTCATCTAGCGTTAATCACTCGCCCTTGGGAAAAATCCCAACTGATTTTTCGTGATAGCAGTGTGTACACCATCCCACGTGAAGGAGTGGCTGCTTACATGACTATGACAGGAAATGGATTTCCCAACTTTGGTGGCAGAGAATTGAGGAGAAAGACTTGACAACATCTTTAGAAAGGGAAACCAGTCAAAAGACATGCCCTCATACTTCCAGTCATAAGAGTGCGTTCGTTCTTGTTTTCATGTCCCATTTCGCAGCTGTCGTTGTTTCAGTTGACAGAGCACATTCCCACATACGTGCATACAAGCTTAATTCTCTTTCATTAAATGTTTGTTTTTCTAGTTAGCTAAATGCAACATGTAATAATGCCAACAAGCACTGACAAGCAAACTGCTAAAATCAAGTTTGGTATAGTGTGAGTGTACGAAACGGTGGTAACTGTGTTTTAGTCAGTAAATGAGGGTGGGGGATTTGAATCAGCCATCAATGTGATTTTTATCATGTTAGCGTTCATGCTTTTCTCATCCTGCAGCGGTAAATGCTGCAGAAGGAGGAAGAACAGATTAGAGTGTGAGACCAAGAGAAGAGGAACGATGTCAGGAGAAAAAAGAGGAAGGGGACAGCAAAACCAACCACAAGTATCGCAGTACTGAGCCTTAAGAGCGAGCACAGATGAAGTGAGTGTGACATTGCTTTCTCTTTTAAAATGATGTGTTTCTCAGGTACAAAACAAGTTTCCTCTTAAAGTCACGCTGGGGGCCAGGTCCATAGTTGTTCAGATTAGCTGACATGCCTAGGCAAAGGACTGATCCTACTTCAGCGGTGGCCAACAGTCAGCTGACTGACCGACAATGACTATCAAAGCCATGTTGCCAGACGTTGTGTTTGCGTTGGCTGACTCACCTGAGTGGAGGAGGATTAGGGGGTAAAAATGACAGTTGTAAAGATAAATGAATGAGATCATTTATTGGAAACAGCTGATTCTTGTCATTCTGCTCCAAGCCTATGCACAAATGTGTTTGTGACCTGAGAAAATGAGTGGCGGTGTGCATTATTTGAAATGCGAGACATGTGCAAAACAGAAGTAAGTGAAGGTGGTCAGAAGACCTTGACCTCAAGCTGCCAGTGGCCTGTCTATTGAGACACACTCTCTCACTTACACAAACACACACAGACACAAAACACACGCTCACACCACACTGTGCAGGCTACCCCATACATCAAGAATGCATTAGTCAGCAGAGCTATTGTTCCAAGTAACCCGCTGCAGATGGCCTGACAGAATGTTATGTAACACATAAATAATAATATTGAGTGTAGACACTAAAGCTTTAATCTGAAAACTGGTAACAACATCAAAGACAGTGAATTGCTTGAGGGCAAAGTTATAGTAAATTGTTAGATTTTTATAACATGCTTTTCCATGCATTGCATGAGGGGGCTGGTTTGTTTATATATACATGGTGTTCTGGTTGCATTGTATTGCATTTTAAAAGATGTTTCATAATTAGCCACTCTATAATCCAATGGGTAAAAACCTCAAAGGGGGATTCAGTCTTACCTCATTGTCTGTGCTATATTCAAAGGTGAGGTTGCGAGGGATGGAGGTCATGGCTTTGGGCAAGTTGAAGCTGGGGTCTGCCACCTGGTCTGGCACAATGTAGGTGCAGTTGAGAGCGAAGTCCACTTCCTTCCACCCGCTCATGTCTCCAGGTGTGCTATCCAGTGTCATTTCCGACAATATACAGTATACTACACTTGATAGATTCAAGCTTTAAGTTTGGTTGAAGTTGCTTTGGTATGGGAGTACTTTGGTTTAGCTGGGGAAGCTAAGTTGCCTTAGGTACAATGGTTAAAGCTCAAGATCTGGAAAGAGAAATGTGGATAGAGAACAAGCTTTTAGTGCTTTAGAAACAGAACTTTGTAGTTCCCCAAAAAATTAAGCAAAACACATCTTATTATGTGA